AAGTGACACAGGGCTTACATATATTTGCCAAACTGTGTAAATAATAACCATGTACCTTTGTTAGCTCCAAGATGTCTCATTACCATGATGGTTTAAATAAATGGGAGGGAGTTTTGAGCAGAGCAATAAAAATGATGAAGAGGCTGACTCTGTTTAAATAAGGAATGATGAAATGAGGTACACCTTTTTTTAAAAGTTTTTGTTTGGGGCAACACTCTGCGGTGTTCAAGAGCTACTCCTGGCTTTGTGCTCAGGGGTCACTGCTGGTGGTGCTGGTGGAACATACAGTACCAGGGATTCAACCAGAGTCAGCCTCATGCAAGATAAGCACCTTATCAATCTCTGCACTTTTTGCTGTCCCCGAGGCAAATCTTTTAGGAGACAAAACTTTGACCTATATGATGTGGGTGAAGATGTTAGATCATTGCTTCAGAGCACACAGATGAGTCCAAGTTCCATCTCTGCAAAAAAAACAAAAACAAAAACAAAAAACATCCATAGAGCAAGAATGGGAGGGTGGCACTTTGTAACAAATTGGAAATATCCATTCAAAGACTATACTCTAATGTTTATAGCAGCATTGTATAGTAATAGCCACTGAAGGAATAGCCACTGAAGGAACCAACCCAAATGCCCATCCACAGGTAAAAAGCTAAACCAATTGTGCTATCACCTTACAGTGCCATCCTCCTCCCACTGATCAGTAATGGAAGGGAATGAACTTTTCTGTTGGTTGTTTTTGGGCCACACTGGAAGTGCTTGGGGGTTGGTCCTCAGAACTCAGAAGATGGAACCAGGGCACACAGAACAAGTGCTCCAGCACTTGGAGCCAAAAGGGAGTGAACTATTTATACAGACAATGTGAAGAAATCTCAGAGGAATGATGCTAAGAACCCCAATAAGGAGCTGGGGGTGCAGCCCAAGGCTTAATTGCCAGCAACACACAAACACAGCTAGAAGAAAATGCATGTAGATTGAGCTAGTCAATGCATATAAAACTCACCAATAAGCTTATCTGTACAGCTTATTGTTCATCCATTTTACCTCCATAAATTTGCAACAATAATAGTAAGTACTGAGGAGAATGCGCTTGTTAAAGAGACCTCCCTAAGAACAGAGACGGAATCACTTACTGGGATCTGAACCTGCGAGACCTTCTCAAGCACATTTTATTTTGCAGGTCTCCTGGATTCCAGTATGGGTATGTCATTCCTTCCTTTTACTTTCTGGGGCTCTCTCTCCTATTTCTTAAATAAAATTAATTGCTTACATAAGAAAAGGGGTGGAGATTGGGAGAAATAGTACAAAGGGTGGGAAGAGACAGGACGAAGGGTGAGGTGCTAGCATACGGCTGGGACTCCAACCCTGGTTCAAATCCTTGCATCTGAGCATCACCAGGCATGGGCCCCTGAGCACAGAGCCAGGTGTGACCACTTAGCTCTGTCATGTGTGGCCCCCTCAAAACAAGGGAGAGAGAGGACTGGAACGGAAGTTCAGGGGCTAAATACGTGCACTGCATGCTGATGGAGCAGGCTTGATCCTTGACAGTGTCCCAAAAACACTGCTAGACGCAATGTCCAATCATAGAGCATCACTGGGTGACCCAGAAAACAAACAAAAAGAGAGTAAGAGCTTCTCAAATTGCCTCTAGGAGGTGGCTGGAAAGATAGGAAAGTAGGAGCTGGAGCCATAGTACAGCAGACAATGCGCTTACCTTATAACATAGCTGACCCCAACATCCCATATGGTTCCCTGAGCCCACCAGAAGTAGCTTCTGAACACAGACGCAGGAGTCAGCCCTGTAGCACTGCCAGGTGTGATCCCAAAACAAACCAAAATAATAATATTAATAAAAACAATAATGCTCTCCTAGGTTCTAGTAACAGGTAAAGGGAGACAAGAAAAATCACTGAAGTGACGAGCTAGATTTGCTCTTTGGGTGCAAAAATTTTATCAGCACCCAAAGACTTATGGGTAAATTGTTGAAATCTTATTAACCCGACACTTGATTCTTTCAGACTTGGCCTCATTTTCCTCAGGACACTGGGACCTCACTCTCCCCAATCTTCTCTTCTCTGGTGGCACAAGGATGAACCAGGGAAAAGTGCAGAGAGTGGGACACAGGGGAACTTTGCAGGATATACTCAGACCCTATAGTACTCCTTTGGACTCCATTGCTGCAGGGTGGGGCTGAGCAGGCGTCAGGGAGTGCTTGAATTGGTGAGGTAGAAAGACAACACACCTCAAACTCAGTTTGAAAACAGGACTAAGGTCTGCCTCCCTGGGTTAGAATCTTTCACAGTGACTAAAGCTGAACATTCCTGAAATTCTGGAGAGAAGAGTCCTTCTCAGGTACTGGGGATGGGTTAAGGGTTCAGGGGTCCTGTTTCTTTTTTTTCTTCAAAATCTAAACCTCTCCTTATCTGCAAGATTTCCTCTCCCTGTCCCAGCCCACTCCTTTGTCCTACCCCACATCTATGAAGCCCTAGACAATATCCCCAGATTGCAATCAATTGTTCAACACTATCTGGGACTCATCCCAAACCTCAGCCTTTATGATGGTGGCGACTTTCATCGGCGCTGCCCTATGGCCTTAGTTTCAGAGTTCCTTCACAGCAGTGGAACTTAAATGAATACATTTTGTTTCCTTTATATTCTAGGACTGTGAAATGGGGCCATTTTTGAGTCTTACACTATTTCACTCTTTCAACCATGCAAAGGAATTTGCTTTTGTTTTTTAGGCCACCCTCTGGTACTCAGGAGCTACTTCTGGCTCTCTGCTGAGGTGGGGGTTGGGGGGGTCACTCCTGGAGGTAACTGGGAAGGAACCTGAGCCACCCTCATGCCAAGCATGTCCTTCAGCCTTTTGAGCCTTCTCTCAGACCCCACTCCTGCCACCAATGCAAAGAAACCTGATTGAGATTATTAGAACTGAAAGAAACCCTGGTGACAGAACCTGGAGCCATAGGACAATGGGTAGGGCACTTGCTTTGCATGCAGTCGACCCTGGACTCATCCCCGGCACCCCATTCGATCCCCTAAACTCTGCCAGGAGTGATTCCTGAGCTCAGAGCCAGGAGTAACTTCTGAGTACTGCTAGGTATAGGCCCCCCACTCCCCTTCCTGAAAAAGGAACAGAAAGAATTAGATGTTCTGGGATTTGGGGCCTGGACTTCTAAGTTTGAGACTCTGTGGCAACACTTATTATTATATACGTGTCCCCAGCTTGAAGAGCAATAGACTCTCTTTGCTGCTTCTTTCTTTATTCTTGCCATGTTTTATTTTCTGGTAATATGTGGAAAGAAATTCTTAAGAATGTCTAACAGGTGTAGACTTGTGTTCCTTGACCTCAAGTGAGATGGGGAAGGGTAGGTGGGGCTGGCAAGAGATGTGCCAGCACAAATATTGTTCCATCAGGACTTGGCAATGTTATTAGAGGCTCACAGGGAAGTGCCCCTTTGCTAGATAAGGGAATCGGTGCCTCCTGCTCCAGACTGAAATCTTGTATCACAGACACAGGCAGCCATCATCAGTGTTGGTGGGCAAAAGGCAGAATGGAAGAGAAAGAACTGGGCCAATGACAGGGGACTGATGGAATTTCTTGGCCCCAAGAGAAGGAATTAATCAGTGTCCTGGGGGACTCTATAAAAGAGAGTGAAGTTAGATTGGACTTGCCCTGGGGCCAGGGGACCATACCAAGTAAAGGGGATGTCTTTGATTCGGGGATTCAGTAGTTAGGAAGGCAGACAAAGCTTGGGAAGTCTGGAACCAAATCTATTGCACTCATCTGGCTGGTGGTGTTTGGCCAATAAAAGGGGTGAGATGAGGGCAGGAGGGAAGGAGGTAACGCTTCCCTTAAGGGAAGCTCTCCAGGTCAAGGACCCAGCCAACATGCTCTCAGCCTCATCCGTCTCCTTACCTTACAAGTCAAATTTTCCACTTTTCCTAAGCTGTTGGGTGAACTGGGAACCTTTTTCTATCCATCTAGTCCCAAGCCTGCCCATATCATATAACGTAACACAGTGTTATTTTGGGGAGGGACTTATATCTGTGTGTATGGGGAGTTTTCTTTTTTTTCTTTTTTGGACCACACCCAGCGGTACTCAGGGGGCCATATGTGGTGTTGGGGACTGAACCAGGTCAGCTACTTGCAAGGTACTTTACCCACTGTACTTCCTATCTGGCCCTTCTTTTTCTTGCAGTGCTGGGAATCAAACCCAGCCTCACGCATGCAAGGTAGATGCATTATGCCAATCACATCCCTGGCACCTGTTTGGCTGATGTAATGTTGTAGGTAGTTCAAGCCTTGGACACAGAAGACAGCAAGGGTTACTGCAGTGTGAGTGTGGGCTGCTTGGAAGCCAGTAAGAGAGGATCCTTCAGGCTTCCGAAGTAATGGGGTCAGGGCCAGGCATGCAGTATAGGCCTTGCCTGCGTGAGACCTGTTAGATCCCTGGCACTGCCAAGAGAAAAAAATGGGGAGAGACAGTCTGGATGTTTTGGATCCTTGGGGAATAAGCCAGTCTCCTGCCCACTCTGCCCCATGTCCTAGGAAGCTGCCAAGGATGACAGATCCAGCTGGCAAGTAATGAGATTTCTTCCTGGAAGGATTCTTGGCTTGAGAACTGCTTGGCTTCTTCGAGGCCCTCAGGTTTCGGGGGACAGAGGGTAGGAGGGAGAGGCTGTCAACTCCAGCTTTGCTGCTTCTCAGTCTCTTCCGTTCTCATCGTTCCCTAGAAGAATCCAAAGAGGATCGTAAAGATAGAGGGCAGGGCTGGCCAATACTTGGTGTCAGAATGGCATTGCCTCTGGCCACATGTTCTACTCCCCACCTCTGAGATAAGACTGCTACCCACCAGATGGAGGAGGAATGGGCCAATGGCCAGTCTGAGAGTTCACTCTGCAGATTCCTCAGGGGCTCTATGGGTGCTCCTCCAACTCCTTCACAGGCCAATCTACTACAAACCCCTTCCCCTAGGAAAAGCACGACGAACCACAGCTAGTTTATTTGCCGTTTAATTTTTCTGAAGGATATACACCACATATCCCATGGGCAATAAAGCGCATTCAATGTGTTTATAAGCCAAACAGTCATTTTGTTTAAGCAAACACAAGTACAAAGTAAAATAAGACCACAAAATAATGAACTGCATGTTCATAACATACAAAAAACGCTGCCTACTCAGTAGGTAACTGCAACATTCCAACTCCTGAATATATTTATAAATTTACATTTTCAGTTAAAAAAATAGACCTTTGAGAATTCAGATTTTTTAAATTTTGTTTTCTTACATTCTGGAGACCCGAGGCTCAGCTCAGCCCTCTTCTTTAGTCTGCTCCCAAAGTCGCCCCACATCTTCACTCCCTGCCCCCCTTAAGGCGAGAGGTGAGCCCATCCCTCCCAATTGCACATGTCAAGCCATCTGCAAGGCGCATCACACAAAAGGCACCAAGACGTGAAACTTTTTAAACCAAGAGGACCAAAAAAATAAAAAAAACAACACTTTCCCAAAAAAAAGAAAAACCAAACCATATTTTGCCACATGTGAGAGTACAGTCGGGCAGTATTTACAAAAAGGTTAACGGAACGTCACTCTGACACATGCTGATTAATACCAAGGACTGCTGTTTCAAAAGAAGCTTCAAACTTAATTGTCACAGCATCATCACAAAGTAAAGGATCATCATTGGTTTGCTTGGCTTTTCTTTTTTTTTTTTTTACCCTCCCCCCCAAAGTGAGGACCTAACTCCAAATAATACAAGAGAATATGCAAATTATTGTCACATCAAGAGTACCCCAAGGAATAACGAAATCCATGGCACAGACACTGTACAAGGGTACAGGGCTGGGCTCTGAGGGGCCCAGACCCCATTTTGCCAACTGAATTTTCTAGCATCGAAGGGAGCAAAGGGTCAGGCATACAATGGAGATGATACTGAAAAGATATATTCAAAATCCATGCAAATCAAGTTCTTTGGATAGAGGCGAAGAACTTGGACATGGCTGTTTCAGGCAGCTGAATTCAAAGAGATTGGGAAGTAGGGGGTAAGAGGGAGTGGATGGAAAGGACTGTTGGCCAAGAGTCCTTCCATTTGGGCTCTGGGGAGGATTTGGCTGAGAACCTCCATCCGACAGAAGAGGAACCCGCCCATGGCCATCTCCTCCTCCTGTCCTTCAAGTCTCTGTGTTTCCTTCTCTCCCTTTTCCATTTTGCCCTCTTTCTCTTTAGCAAATTTCAATTGTCCTGGGAGAAAAGGTTGTTGTCATGTCCGAGAGACCTGTGGAGGCGCTGAAAGAGTTGGTGACGGCTGAGGACGGGAAGCTGCTGACTTGGGCTGGGAAGGCCGGTGGCACTGCCGTGTAGGTGGTAGCCACCGAGGGCGAGGGGAAGCCGCTGTGGACGGGAGACGGGTAGGTGGAAGAGCCAGGAGAGGGGTAAGAGGGCACAGGGGAAGGGTAGGAGGTGGCGGCTGGGGATGGGTACGAGGTAGCCACGGGGGACGGGTAGGAGGTAGCCACGGGGGACGGGTAGGAAGAAAGGGAGGAGGCGGCAGAAGAGGCCACGACCCCCTTGTCTGCCTTTTTGTCCTTCTGTCGCAAATGGATCTTGGTGTGCCTCTTGCGCTCATCACTCCTGGCAAATTTTCTCCCACAGATGTCACAGGCGAAGGGCTTCTCGCCTGTGTGGGTGCGGATGTGCGTGGTGAGGTGGTCGCTCCGGCTGAAGTTGCGCATGCAGATCCGACACTGGAAGGGCTTCTGGCCTGTGTGGATGCGAATGTGACGTGTGAGCTCATCTGAGCGGGAGAAGCGCCGGTCACAGGATTCCACGGGGCAGGCATAGGGGCGTTCGTGAGGGGGGGTCTTGCTGGGCCTATTGGGGTACTTGCGCATGCGGCTGGGCTTGATGAGCTGGGACTGGTAGGAGGTGTTGAGCGCCTTCAGGTCCTGAGAGCCCGACTGTGTGGCAAAGGCCTTGATGGTGGAGAGCGGAGTGAGCGAAGGCTGCTGGGTGCGGCTCTCCAGGCCCTGGAAGGGCTTCTGGTCGGGGGTGCCCAGGCCCAGGTCCCCCTGCTGTTGTGGAAACAGGTAGTCAGGGATCATGGGGACCTGGAAGCCACCCTTGGAGGTAGGGTAGGCTGGAGGCGGATACTGGAGGGCAGTACTGGCGGAGCCAGGAAAGGCCTGGCTCTGGGGCTCCGGGAAGAGGTCAGTGTTCGGCGTGGGGAAAGTGGGTGCCGCTGAGTAGATGGGACTGCTGTCGCTGGACTGCACCCCACAGCTCAGCGCTGGGCTCTGCGAGGCGGAGGAAGACGAAGAGGCCGCTGGCGACGGTGCTGAGGAGGAGGAGGCCGGTGGGTTGGTCATGCTCACCAGGCCACTGACCAGGCTGAAGAGGGGCTCCGGCCACAGGGGATTGCCACTGTTGGGGGCGGGCTCCAGCGAGAAGCGACCAGTGTAGGTGATAGGCGGCAGCCGGGTGGTTTGGCTGGGGTAGCTCGTCTCCACCAGCACCTTCTCATTATTCAGAGCGATGTCAGGAAAGGACTCTGTGCGGGGGGAGAAAGAGGGGGGAGGCCGGGTTACTGAAGAGCAATCACCGGAGGACGAGGAGGACCCGCGATGTCAGGCAAGAGGTCGCTCCAGCTACCATTGACTCCCGGGGCTGGTTAATAATTGATGGCAGCAGATTGCAATGTTCCTGGCCCCGCTCCAGCGGTGGAGCCCATTTCAATAACAATTGACGCAAACACAGAGAATCCCCTCCACTGCAGCTCCCCGCGCTCCGCTGCAGCGGCTGCGCAGGCAAGGGATTCCCGCCAGCACCCCCTTGGCCGCGGTGAGCACGCGCCCCCTACTCCGGCCGGCGGGGACATCCCTGGCCACGGGTCACAGGCTCGCTGCCAGGTGGCGCACAAGGCAAGGCTCTCCCAGGAGCTGGGAGCAGGGGTGGAGGTGGGGTTTGGGGGCGCAGCTCAACTCGTCAAAACAAGCTCTCCCCTCCCCCCATCCACCCACGCAGCCCCACATCTCTGCGTCCAAAACAAGAGCTCGCTCCTCTGCGCCTGGCTAGGGATGAGGAGGGGAGGGAGTGAGGGGAACGGATGTCCCCAGGCATCGGCTAACACCAGCCCCGGGGAACGAGAGCAAATGGAAGGGAAACCCCACTCGTATCCCGGAGCTCCCAGGGCGCCGCTGCGGTGAGGGGCGCTGCAGATGTCGTGGGGAAGGACTGCATGCCAGGATGGTGGCGAGGGGGCTAATCCTTGGCTGAGGCCACCGCTTACCTGCAGTCAGGTGCTCGTAGGGCTGCTCGCCGGCCTCCCCCTGAGGGTTAAAGGCGCTGCTGCCGCTGCTGCTACTGCTGCCGCCGCCACCTGCACCTCCACTGCCCCCGCTGCTGCTGCTGCTGCTGCTGCTGTTGCTGTTCCCGGCGCTGCCCTCGGGAGCCCCCGGGGCCCCGAGGAACTGGGGAGTGCCGTTGCTCAATAGCATCATCTCCTCCAGTTTAGGGTAGTTGTCCATGGTGGGCGAGTGGGGAAAGGAGCCGAACGGGTCGGAAATCTGCAGTGGGGACATCAGCTGCATCTCGGCCTTGGCTGCAGCCATCCCGGATCGGCGGGCTGGAGAGCGGATGTTGGGGCGGGTGGGCGCAGCCCCGGGGCCGCAGCTTCTTTGGGGACACACTCTGGGGGGCCCTGGCCGGGTCACATGCGGGGCGCGGGGAACAGTGTGGCGAGCGCAGGTGGGGTGCCCGGGCTCGCCCGCGCCGCCGGCCGGTGAGGACGCGGCGTTGCTACCGAGGCTGGGGCAGGGGCCGCTCCTGCGCTGGCGGCGGCTGGCGGCGGCTGGCGGCGGCGGCGGCGGCGTCGGCGGCGGCTCCCCAAGTTCTGCGCGCTGGGATCTCTCGCGACTCCCCGGATCCGCTTCTATTTGAAGGGTCTGCCGCGGCACCGGCCCGCCTCCGTCGTGACGTACATGGCCAAATATGGGAAGCAGGAAGCCCTAATATGGCAAGCCCGGCCGGGAGGACCCGGAGTGACGTGAAGCCCCTCTCGGAGGGCGACGGGGCACCGCCATCCCGCACCGCAGGCCCCGCGCCAGCTCACGAACCCTGGCAGCCCAGGCGTCGGGGCAGCGCAGGGCTCGAGCCGCCGCCGGGGACTCCCAGGTCCGTTGGGCTCCCGAGCTCCGGACGCGGCCCTGGCCGTGGCACCCGGGGCCCCCGCCTCTCTCCCTCCCACCGCGGCCGGAAGCGGCCGGGCCATATCGGGCCGCTCCGTATAAGGCGCTGCCCAAATAAGGCTTGTTCCGGCGGGGGATCCTTCCTGCTCCTTATATGGCCTTTCCGGGTCGCTGCGCGCCGCTCCCGGGCTCCCTCCCCCACAGCCCCCCTCCTGCCTGATTCCCCGCCGGGAGCCCGAAGAGCTCGAGAGCGGGGGACGCCCGGGCGGGGAGGGCTCGAGATGCGCCGCGCTCGGCGCTCGGCGGCTCTGGAGGCTCCCCCGGCGGACTGGGCTGGGGAAGCCCGGGACCAGGGCGGGGGCGAGGGCGAGTCGGGCCGGGATTCTGCCGCCGTCATCCAGGGCCGCCCGCCCACCTCGGGGACCGTGGGAGCCGGGCGGGAGTCGGGGGGGGGGGGGGAGGAGCGGCGGGGCCGGCCGGGCCGGTGGCCGCCCTGGAGAGGCGGGGCCTTGACCCCGGTCCTTGGCCAATGCCACGGCTCTCCAGGTGTCGCAGGGGAAACTGAGGCTGGCAACTCCGAGCCAGGAGGTTCCTGGGCCGGTGTGGCGGCCAGCCACCTGCTTCTTCTGCGCCTGCGGCCAATGGCGTGGGGCTGTTGGGTATCCCTGTGCGCCCCCCAGAGCGAAGGGCCGGTCCCCGGGTGAGGGATCCTTATTGCCCTAGGGAGGACCTGAGCCCTGGTCCCACCAGGCTGTCAGGGGGCTCCGCGCAGTGGAGAGCATTTTCCACCCCTCCTCAAGAACAGGTGTACAGGAGGCGGGGGGCATGGGGAATCTGAGACGGGGGCTTCCCCACGGGCTGTCTGGGGACCCCTGCCCTGTTGCTGCCCCCTGTAGGTCCCGGCTGCGGCGTTGTTCCCCGGGACCCAATGGGCTCTTCCGCCGCCTCCCGGCCCCCCTCCCGGCTTCTGCGCTGGGCGTTGCGCCAGGCCGGGGAGCCTGAGACGCAGTGAGCGCGCTCTGAGCAGGCGCCGCAGCCTGGGCTCCCCCTGCAGTCCCCGGGGAGCCGCCACCGCCGGGGTAACACTCCCTCCCCGAGCCTGGCCGGGGGCGGGGCCGGCTCCCGCGGGTCTCCCCGGAGCAGGACAGGACGGGGAAGCCCTCGGGGTCCTGGACCCCTCCCCCACTTTCCTGCAGTCTAGTGCGCACCCCGAAGAGAACTGGGATTCCCGAAGGAAGGCTTCTGCCCTAGCTCAAAATGTAGGGGAGGTGCTGTTTTCCAGATTTAAAACAAAACAGGAAGTGCGCGCGCGCACGCGTGTGTGTGTGTGTGTGTGTGTGTGTGTGTGTGTGTGTGTGTGTGTTGGAGGGAGCTTTGTGAGAGGGAGGGGGTCTCAGTGAACCCAGACTCTTCTCAGTTCGGGGTCAGGGGGCTGCGTTCAGGTTTACACATACACATACACGCACACGCATATACACACGCGCGCTCTAACTGTACGCTCCCCATCCTAAATGCTGCAGCTCTGTGTGTTGGAGGTTTCTTCCCACGGTCTTTAGGAGGGATGCCTCCTTGTTCAAGTGGTCCTGTGTTTCTGGATGCCCGTTTTGCTATTCCCTGGTGGGTTACAGGTCAGGCTTTTAAAAAAATTTTCATTTCATTTCTTTTTCTCTGCAGTACCAGGAGTGGAACCCTGAGCCTCACAAGGTAAGTGCTCCACTACTGAGCCCCATCCCCTGCCTCTCTCACTTTCTTTTATTTGTTTTGGGGTCTCACCAGTGGCTCAGGGCTAATCCCAGCCCAGGCAGTGCATTCCTCACTCCTCTGTGCTCCATTCTATGTCCAGCACTAGGGATTAGATGGTGCTGCAGGTCATCTAAACAGGGATCTTTTTGGGACGGAGGGGAGCTGTAGTACAGCGGGTAAGGTGTTTGCCTTACAGGGTCCACCTGGGTTTGATCCCAGCATCCCAGATAGTTCCCCCAACCCTCCCCTCCCCAGCATCACCAGGAGTGACTGCTGAGCGCAGATTCTGTGTGGCCCAACAAACGAAAACTGAGCAGGAATGGCTGGAGAAAGCTGGTGGGGTTGGACAGGTAGAGGGTGAGTCCTGCTTACAAAGCTTGAGCTCCAGCCTTTGCATCATCCCTAGCCCCTGCATCTCACTTACTTTAACTGGAAAATCTGATGAATGTTAATGATACCCACATGGAAGGATTGTTGTGAAGACTGACACTGACATGAGTGGCCATCTGGGAAGTCCCCTAGCTTAGAGCGATTCTTGCACTTGGCATTCAGTAAACAATGACTGTTGTTATCTTCAGATTGTTAACTTCAGAGGTTTTTGACCCACAAGGGCACCCATAAAATTGTCTTCCACCCTTCTCAGTCTCAAAGCAAACCTTGTCACCCATTTCTGAGAAATTGTGCAGGGGGGGAGACACATTCCAGTCCAGACACAGGGGACATTGTGCCCAAGAGCTCATCTGAATCTTCTTGCTTCAGTAGAACATCATTTCCCAGGGCAGAAATTTTCAACATTCTGCGAAAGTAATCACCCGTGGAACCCCAAAGAAGAGAGGGTTTCCCTAGATTGCCCGAAGCTCACAAGTGGCAGGCCTGAGTAGGCGCTGGTTTTCTCAGAGCCTAGTCCTGCCCCTGTGAACTGCCCAGACATCACATTGCAGGAGGCAGATGGAGTTTTGCCCTCCTGGGGAAACTGCTGTTCTTGTTAGATAAAATGAAAGAGCTATGTAAATCAAAAGGACAATTTTGGATTGTGGGAAGTGTAATATGCTGGGGGGGGAAGGGGGAATGCATGCTGAGCGGTGACAGTTATGCAGAGATGGGAAGACTGAGAAGAGGGGCCAGAAAGAGCTCAGTGGGCTGTGTGCTGAGTTCCATCCCTGGTACTAAATGTTTCCCTTCTGGCCCCACCCCAGCACTACTGGGTGAGACCCAATTTTTAAAAAATAATAAAAATAAAATTGAATGAAAAAATAAAAACAAAGTGAGATAAAAGCAACTTGCACTCCAGGCAAAGCAAAACAAAGAGCAGTGCAGCCCCTCCCCCACCCCCACCCCTATCTGACCCCTCACCAAGGATGAGTGATCAGGTATGGGCAGAATGGTATGGGTGAACCGTACCCTTCAACTCTCCCCTCTCTTCCAGTCCTTGAGACAGCTTCTGCAGATTGGATGGTGACATTCTCAACCAGCCCAAACCCCCCATCTTCCAGAAAGTGTGTCTTGCAGGATGCCCCAACTTGGTGCCTGTCAGCCTCACAACAAGGTGACCGATGCCAATGCCTCCCCAAGAGAGCTTGGCTGCTGGCCTGCTTCCTCCACAGCAGGGTTGGGCATCCAAGCTACCCCCTTTGCTTATCTGCTGTGTCTTTGGCCTCTGACCATTTTCTGTTTACTGAAGCTGGGGACCAAAGGAGTTGAGCCCCGCCCCCAGCCCAGTAGGCCAGTGTTTTGCATGTAGGAGGATCAGCTATTTTCCTTTTTTATTTTGGGACCACACCTGGCTTTTCTCAAGGACTTACTTCTGGCTCTGCAATTGGAGGTCACTTCTGAGACCCAATATCTTCAAATTTGGGGGGCAGCATGCCTGGTGATACCCAGCAGTTACTCCTGGCTCTGCACTCACGGATCACTCCTGGCAGTGTTTGGGGGACTATATGGGATGATGGGGATTGTCCTGCATTGTCCACACGCAAGGCAAGCTCCCTATACCCATTGAACTATCACTCTGGCCCTGAGGTCAAACTTTCTGTTCCTGGTACTCCACAGTCCCCTAAGCACCACCAGGAGTGACCACTGAGCCAGGAGCAGCCCCTAAGCACTGCTGGGTGTGGCCCCAAAAAAACAAAAACAAAAAGCATGGCTGTTTCCTGAAAGGCCAAGTCTCAGTTGAGCTTGTAAGCACCAATTCAGACAGGACAAGTGGCCTGAGGTGTAGGGGAAAGCAGATCATGGGTAAGGGAGCTGGGTGAGGGAGCTGAGTCTGCACCCGGGCCTAGGTGCCAGCAGGCCCTCCAGCTGGCCTTAGGAATGAGCCTGGGACTTGGGCCCTGGCACCAAGGCGTCGGGTGCAGAAGCCCCCGGACCAGGGAGATCCGCTCAAAGGGCCTGAAGGTCTGAATCAGCCACTCAGAGTTTCCAATGGGAGAGGCCAACGGGAGAGGTGGCAGCAGAGGTGAGAAGCGGCTGAATCTATGGACCTGACCTTGAGCTTGAAGCGGAGGCCAGGGGGGCCATGAGCTGGGGCGGTGTGAGTGGGAAGGGCAGCTGAAGCTCCGGAGAACGCTGGAGAACGCCGGCGGGAGCACTCAGGTCTGTGACACCCAGGGCCCCAAGCTGCCGCTCTCAGAGCAAGCCAGCCCCATTTTCCATCGCTGCTTCCTCTTCCCCTGCGACGTCAGCACCCGCATGTGCTGCTGAGACTGTGGTTTGCACTGCTGTGGTCGCGGGGGTGCAGGAAGTGACTCTTGGGTTCTGTCTGGGGCTCCTGTCACACTTTCCAACAAGTCACGGGCTCCCCGGAAACATGAAGGGCCTAAGAGAAGGGAGAGGGGCTGGAGAAATAGTACAGCAAGTCAGGAGCACACAGCCAACCGGGGTTTGAGCCCCAGCATCCCATATGGTTTCCTGAGCACCACCTGGAAAAAATTCCTGAGCACAGAGCCAGGAGTA